TCTCATCCGAGAGACTTCCTCAGTCTGAGGTGCTGTATTCAGCTCAGTCTCTTAAATAGCACCTTCTCAGAGTGGATCAACCAGTTTGCTGCTGACAAACAAAACCAGCTACTCACATGGTCAAGAAGGACCATCAGCCTAACAATGGATCATTAGCACACTGATGGCTGTTTACTATTCACAGGGGGTTGAGTGATACTAGCAATAACAGCAGTGTAAGTGGGGGACAGTTGAACCCGGAGGCCTCCACCCCTGTTTGATGATGGACGATTTCTTTTCACAATGAAACGTCTGCTGGGAGAATGATGATGTTTTTGTCCTTGCTAAGAGTGGTGAGTGCATCCCTCTCCTTTCTACTGATGTTGGAAGGTGGTGGTTTGGCATTGCTGAGGCAGGATGAAACTTTGATTCTGAGCTGTTCTGCTTCACCCTCTTTCACTTTGTTGTTGCGGATGGCTGATTCTGTGGCTGTGATCATCTCCACCTAGGGCTGAGTACCTTTCTAAAAAAATCGGTACCGGTGTTGGTACCTTCACTTCAATGTCGATTCCTGGACGGTTCTTTTTTCTGTACCAATTTTGTAATTAACATTCATTCTAACGAATAAAATTACGTTACACATTACAGTACAAATTGTGAATTTTATTTTTTAACTTTGGTATTTTTCAATTCCAAGCAGTTTTTTTAACATAAAAACAAACAAATAATTTCCAGGTCAAAGACCAGTTACAAACCAGTGACACGTCAGTGTAATGCTCACTGCTACACACTGATGATCTTTTCACTGAACAGTTTTTCTTCAGAAACATCAACATGTCTGTTTTCTCTGTACACAAACAAGCCTGCTCCTGGCTGATGGTGTCTCCAGCAGTAGAAAATGTTCACTCTTGCCCCTTTTCCATTAGTACCGGTACGGGCCGACTGGACCCTACTTGGCCCGGTTCTGAGGCTTTTCCATTAGTACCGGTACTTAGCACCTGTTACTATTTTCAGTACCCTTGGCTCTGTGGTTCTAACCGGAACGAAGAGGTACTAAAACGTGACGTCAGAACACTGTCGGTCACTGATTGGTCGGGGGCGGAGTCGGGGGCGGAGTCACTGGATCCTTCAGAAACTTTTCAAAACAATAATCCGCCATTTGCAATTTCTCGGACTGGAGCTTGTGCTGGACTTATTTTAAAGATTTTAAAAACAATAATGACAACATCTTGGTCTAATACTGATGTGCTGGCATTTTTTGTGCTTGGTGGTGTTGGATTTCATATTTTTATACCTTTTTTATATTTCCTGTCAAGCATTCAAATGTCATGTTATACAAAGTGTGTGTGTCTTTCTTCCAGGGTTGCACTATATTTATAGAAAATGTTTGCTAATTCTAACTAGTTGACCTCTAAATATAATCTCATATTAGCTAAGGATAATTTTACAAGTTCACATTTGATTTATTACAAGCAATCAAATCATGCCAGATAGCAGACTGATTAACATAAATAAAGCTAGAACACATTTCTTTAATTTAGACAATATAGTTTGACTAAATAAGATCCCTCAGGATCTCTCTTAATAACCATTAACATTTAATCATTGTTGAATACAGGGTCGGTTTAGTTAATTGTCACAGTAAGCTACAACAGCAAAAGTATAAAAAGGATCAAGAACACGCAAACATGAGTTAGATAACAATTAATAGTTATTAATTATTCCCAGAATATTCCTAGAAATAAACAACTTTAACTCAAATCATTTGGTATCACTAAGGTATAATCACGTTAAACAAACAGCTAAAACAAACGATTTCAGTGAGGCAGAACTTCTTATCTGAAATGTAGATATTAACGTCCTTGAGGGGGCGGGTTAGAGTCGTAACCCTAGCAACAGAAGCTAAACCAATCAGAAAGCTAGCCTTCTCAAACTGTGATAAAAGGCCGGAAATAACACACGCCCACCCAGCATTTCCGGGAGGCGCACACCGAGACGGTTTGTGCTTTAATACTCCATTTATATGCATATATCTTATTAATGTAATTGTTTGTCTCTGAATATCTGTAACCCATGTTTTGTCAAATAAATCTTTTATACCGAGGGCGACGTCTCAGCTGTGTTGAACACGACGTGGTAGCCATCCACGACAGTGGCCTACAACATAATTTAGAGCAAGCTGGATGGAGTTCTGCTGGTCTACCCCGATCCTCCCTCCGGAGCCTCGGAGTGCCAGGCCGGGCAGGACGTCATCTCCCCGGCTCCAAGTTCAGCTGGTCACCGCGGAAGATCCTTCGATGTACCAACTTGGAGGCTCGGGTTCCAGATACCAGCCTTGTGTGCTCAGAGCTCCGCTGGTCACTGCAAAGCTGGAGATGGGGACTCACAGATGGCCGTTGCCAGACCCCGGCCGCACGTAATCATGAAGGCTGAATCCCGATCCCACCCAGCAGTCCAGCGGACGGTGGAAGCGATTTAAAAAAAAAATATTTTGTTTTTATACAAAAAATGTTTTAAAAAATCGCTGAAGCGATTTAAAAATGTTTTTATTTTTTTTTACACGTAAAATGTTTTTTAAAATCACTTCCACCGTTCGTCGCAGACCCGTCTCTGTCCGCCTGTCTGCGCGGTTCGGGCCTTCATGATTACACGCAGCTGGGGTCTTGGAACGGCCTCTGTGAGTCACCAGCTGAGCTCGGAGCTGGGAAGATGAGCCTGCCCGTCCTGTCTCCGGAGGAGAGGATTGTGTGAGACCAGCAGAGCATTGAAGATTAAAAAAAAAAAAAGCGGTGCCAGCTTCATCATGAAATCCTGTTTTCACTTTAATGACTGTTAACTCAGCTGAAAATCATAAAAAGACACAAAACTATTGGATCTCAGTAATATTTCCCTCAAACATGTTTAAAGAAAAGAGACGACCTTCAGTTCAACTTTATTTTAACCCACAAATGTACAAGTCACAAAACAAGAACTTTAAAGCAAAGCTAAAAATAAAATGTATATATGTAAACAAGAAAGAAAACCACACATCTAAAATGAACATTAAAGGTAGACACAATGAGTGCAAATACATCAAATGATGATGAAAACCTATAAAAATTTAAATCTCATGTTTTTGTAGAATCTGGTTCATCAGAGTTTTAATTTATATACATATATATATATATATATATATATATATATGTATATATATATTCAAATAAGAACGGAAAGTCCCTTCACGTTAGTAGCTTCCCGGATAATGACAGGCAACTCCGAGAGGAGTGCGCCGACGGCATGGAGCGATGTGGTCGTTGAGGCGGGAAAACCCGGAGGGGTCGAGCATCCGCTCGGCCTCCCTCGTTCCAACACTGTGCTCCCCGGGATGGAGCGAGCATCGGGGCTGCTGCTAACGTCACCAGTCCCAGAGGAATCATCCAATTCGCTCCGAGAGCCGGCGTCGAAGAAATCCATGGCGTCGTCCAGCGAACAGTCTCCCGCCACGGACAGGCAGTCCTCGATGGTAGCCTTAAACAAGGCTGCTCTCCTCTGCCTTTCCTCCGGTGGAAGTTTGTCACAAAGGCGGCAGGAGGAAGCGTGGGCGACGTGGCGGGGACCCAGGCATCCCTCGCAGGTGTCGTGCCGGTCAAAGCTGAGCAAGTAACCGGTCTTGCAGGAAGGACACAAGCGGATGGTGTTGGAGCTGGACATCTTGTTGAAGGTCAGTGTTGTTAGCTTGCTGAAGAAAAACGGGAGCCGATTACCCGCTCTTAATGTAACTTATACGGATCGGGTGGGGCCCACACAGCAGGTGGGCGTGGACTCATTTTTTCAGTGTGATGCTTCGCATAACGGGATAAACCCACTAAGCGACAGCCTTAAAGGGCGAAGCCTATACGACATAGAACCTCGGTTCGGTACTCAGCCCTATCTCCACCAGAGGAATTCTACTTGGTGCAACCGCAAAGTTCAGTCCCCTGGCAAGAATCTCTGTCTCCGGCTGAGTGAGCTGTCTGTCAGATAAATTCTTCACCCACTTTTCTGTCTACCTGGCACGTAATTGACTACTGGAGTGTTGTCCTACACTGAATGTGTTGTCATTGGAATAGTGATGGTGTTGATGAGTTATTAGTAAGTTAAACTTGTTTTGTTGGTTCAACTGTCCCCCGCTTACACTGCTGTTACTGCTAGTATCACTCAACCCCCTGTGAATAGTAAACAGCCATCAGTGTGCTAATGATCCATTGTTAGGCTGATGGTCCTTCTTGACCTTGTGAGCAGCTGGTTTTAGTTGTCAGCAGCAATCTGGTTGATCCACTCTGAGAAGGTGCTATTTAAGAGACTGAGCTGAATACAGCACCTCAGACTGAGGAAGTCTCTCGAATGAGAGACAAAACATTTCTACATATTTTTTTGCTTTGTTTTGTTTTTTGGTTTTTTTGTTTTCTTGTTTTTTGAATGTCCAGAGGACCAGATTGAACTTTTTTGGATTTTTCTACCTGGATTATTGAGCATGCTTCAGGAAATGCAGACTAACTCAGGAAATATTTTTATTTTATTATATTTTTATATTCATTTTTTGTTTTGTGTTGTGCCTTCAGGGAAAAGTTTTAGAGAAGAGCAGTGTGAGAAATACAACAGCCCTAACTTCTTGGACCACAATGGGAAGATGAAACAGTGGATCCCAAAGCATACCGGAGTTTCCCCCAGAGACAGGTGCAAGCTGTTCTGCAGGTCCAGGGGCAGCAGTGAGTTCAAAGTCTTTCAGTCTAAGGTACTGTGGGAACTCTAATTACAACATTTCATTCACAATATCTTAAAAAATATATTGTCTTGCAATGAAAGTGTTCTAAATGATTAACTATTTAAATTCTAACATTATAAGTGCCTCGAAAACATGTCTTTCTTAAAGCTTTTTCTATGTTGCTATTTAAAATTGGATTATTTGGTAGGTTTGTTACAGAACATTTCTTGGAACAGCATCTTGAAGACCGAGGAACACACCAGACAAATCAGGGATGATGATGTTGTGAAGCACATCTCAGGGTTAGGTTAGAAATCAGTGTGTCAAGTTTTGAACATCTCGGAGAGGGCAGTTTAAATCATCATCTGAAAATTAAAAAAAGAGTATGGCACAACTGAAAACCTACAAACACATGGCTGGTTACCTACACTGACAGACAGGTGCATTAACTGTACATAAAATCCCAGTAAAATGCATTGAAATTTGTAGTTGTAATGTGATTAAGTACCAAAATGTTCAAGGGATATGAATACTTTGCAAGGCACTATATGTACATTACCTTGTTCAAAATAGAAGATGAGTGAAATGAGCCCATTTACACAAGAACTTTATCATGCAGTGAATAATAACACCATGGTTTTACGCTTTGAACCTTTGACTCTGCTAACTGATTTTATGTCCTCAAATGAAAGTTGTGTCATCAGCTGAACTCTATAGTGAAGCTGACTCATTAAGGCTATTCTCACAACACTCGACTGGACACACACTGATCACAGGGATCAGCAGCCTGGCTGCAGAGTCCAACTGATCTGTGATAGAAAGTTTGATAAAAGTGCAATGCATCAGGTACAGGCTGTATGCCATATTTGCTCAATTTGAATGTCACACCCAACAAAAGCTCTGTAGACTTATCAAAAGGCATCTGAATGTAAATGGTAAATGGACTGTACTTATATAGTGCCTTTCTATCTAATCAAGATACTCTAAGCGCTATACACTACAATCTGTGCCTCATTTACCTGTTCATACAGCACTCTACTAGATCTCTATAAAGTTAATTGAACAGATCTAAAAAAGTTAAATCTGGTCCTCTGGACATTCAAAAAAACAAAACAAAGCCAAACAACAACAAAATGTAGAAACATTTCACCTTTCATCCGAAAGACTTCCTCAGTCTGAGGTGCTGTATTCAGCTCAGTCTTATTAATAGCACCTCCTCAGAGTGGATCAACCAGTTTTGCTGCAGACAACCAAAACCAGCTGTTCACATGATCAAGAAGGACCATCAGCCTAACGATGGATCATTAGCACACTGATGGCTGTTTACTATTCACAGAGGGCTGAGTGATACTAGCAATAACAGCATTGTAAGAGGGGGACAGTTGAACACGGTGGCCTCCACTCCTGTTTAATGATGGACGATTTATTTTCATAAAGATGGCCTCCTTTACTCTCTCAAACCATCTCTCAAAACATCTCAGTTTCTCTGATACTCCCTCAACATACGGAATGAGTACTGGTCTCGGTCTGGGTTCCTCCTTTTCACCT